GCTAATTGCAGACATAACTAATTGACCACCATATGCTCTTCACTGACTTAACTCACTTCTCTCGACAGCCACTGTCAGCCCCCACGGACGATGTCACATAGGCTTAAATGTATTTACCATCTCTGACTTAGATGGTTACTTAGGGTTACCAGATTGAATACAGGATGCCCAGTTAAAATTGAATTTCAGGTAAAGAATAATTTTTTAGTACAAGCATATCCCCAACATTGCTAAATATGGCAACCCTCTTACTTAGGCCATTTCTACTTCTTTTCTATGTAATGAATTTCTTTCATTGGCGACACTCACCCTCTTTTTGGTAGTTCTGGTAGTGTCCATTCTCCGGTGCCCAGAGGAGATTCTAGCTCATTCTATGTTGTTTAAATTCATATTATGACTTAATTTAATGGAAAATGGTGGAGAGTGGAGTAGATTTTTATTTCCGAAGGCCATATATCCTTATAAGACTCCTTACTGAACCTACAATCCTGTGTTTCCCAGACCTCATCTTTGGCTTGTCTCTTTCCTGATTTTGGCAAATCCATATACCACTTGTATCATTAACTTATCTAGTATTTTCCTTTAAATTGACTCATTTTTTAATTTAAATACCATGAATGGAAAACTAGTATCACTTACTAAAAAGATAGTATAAAAGTAAATAAAGAAAAAAATATACCTTGAAATATTAATCTGGGGTTCAGCAGTGCCCATAAGACACAAAACGCTGACAAATGTAAATTCTCGGCCGATTTGGAAATCCCCTTCATGACCCCAGCAGATGATATCTTTTTGAATACCTTCAGTTATGGGGAACTCAGTACTTTGCAGGGTTTTGATTCATTCTTGAATACCTTATTAGCTATTTCTTCATTATATTGACCCACATCAGCCTCTCAGAACCAGTCAGACATTGATCTTGGTTTTCCTTCTGGGACCCCACACAATAAGTTTGCTCCCTTTGTATTCATTTATTCAACAAACATTTCAGTGCTTCTTATGAGACAGCTTCAGTGCTTATTATCTTACAGTCTTACTGAGGGAAGCAAAGATGCAATTATAATACAGTGCGATAAGAGCTGGGTGGAGGTGGCCTAGACTGGTGTGGGGGGCGGGGAGGGGAGTGTTTAGGAAGACTTCTTCATAGGGGAAGACAGAGAGCCTCGTGTGCTTTGGGAAATACAAGGCAGGAGTGAGAGGGTGCAAGGAGCCTGGAGCAATAGAAAAGGGGTGGTGAACAGACCAGGTGGGCCTCGTAACCCTCGGCGTCCATTAGCACAGGACTTGTTTCCTACAAAAGTTTCATGTCCAAGTTATCATTTTTTTTTAGTCCTGGAGTGTTAGGACAGGACTTATTCTATTTCACAATTCAGGAAACTGAAGCCTAATAAATTGCTGGCGGACTTGTAGCTGACACGTGGAGGAGCTAGGTCTTTACGTTCCATAGTCACAGCTCCATGCTCATTGCCTTGCGCCCCCATCACCAGTCCCACTGGTCCAGGATGACCTCCTCTGCCCCATTGAAGAAAGCTTCATTTTCTTAGAGGGCACCTTTGAATATTTTATGTTAAGTCAACTTAATTTTCCCAGGACTGACCATGAAGCAAACCTCAGCAGTCTAGAGTCCAGTGCTCTGCTGTTCCTTTCCTGATTATGGGAGGTGTTGGTTCACAAGGGTAAAGTGAACCTAAGATGGCCCCTTCTTTTGGAGCCTGATATCCCTGAGATCCATCCTTCCCACAGCAAGGGAAGAAACAGTGTTGGGAGAACTGAGAGACACCAGGGAAGGCTCCCTGGAAGAGGTGGCTGTGAGTGGGCCTGGATGGATGAGTAGGAGCTAGCCCTGAAGGGACGGGAGGGTCCTGCACATAAATACACTGCATCCTCTTTCACTGCAAGCATCGAGCTGGGCCCCAGCACACCTTTCACCCATAGATGTGATTTCAACCTATCAACTAATTAGAGGTGCTAAATCGACATGAGGAGACATGATTTTTGCAGTGTGGTAATTAAAAGGCAGTTGGCTTCACAGCTGTGATCACACAGAAGCGCTTCTTACCCCTAAAGACATCAGCTGAAAGCAAAGTGCAAAGGAGCTGAGGGAACCAAAGAGGTTCCTAATGTAATTTGTTAATTTCCTACATTTGTCACCTGCACAGCTGTGAGGGGGGAAATGGAACATTTTACCAGAAGTTTAAGAGAAAAATTAAAGACATATATTCTAATTGTATACAATTAGACAAGCAATATGATCATGATTATTTTTTAAATTAACAAGCCACTTAAAAATTTCTAGATTAGGATTTAGGAGGCCTGATTTAGAATTATGTCTCTGTGTGGGGACAGCCATGTCACTGTGAGCAAACTTTCATTCACTGAGGATTTTCATCTGTAAAATGGGTAAACACCTCTGCTCTGCCTGCCTTAGGAAAGGGCCTTGTAAGTGAAAAGACCATTCATGATTGTAAGAAATCCCATCTAATTCTCATTACTTATAAGTCTAGAAGTTGATATCTAACATTAGCCACCATTAACTGGATACCTGTGCTATTTCTGACCTCACAATCACCCTGAGATGGGGTGTGTCACCCTGGTTTACCCAGAAGGAGACAGATCCCAAAAGGTAAAATAATGTTCCCGAAGATGTATAGTGAGGGGTGGGGCTGGCATTCAGACCCGACCTGTCCAAGCTGAAACCCCAAATTCTTACCTTTAGGGACCAGACTGCTTCCTCAGCACTGGCTTGGTTTTTCTGTTTCTCTATTTTACTCCCATTTTTGACTTAAAGAAAGAGAAAAAGGATTTGAGGAAGTAATATTTGTTTTTCAATCTTCTTTCCATAAAATGAGATAGAAATTCTGAAGAGGAGAGTGAAGAAGGAAACAAAAATCACAGAATGCCACATAACAAAAAAGAATTAAAGTATCTTAGCAAAAAAAATTAAATTATTTTACCCTTCACTATTTACAAATAAATAAAAGCTATTACTTAAACTTAGGTGATGGGCAGTTGGATATTGGTTTTGTTATTGCTCCTTAAATTGAACATGCATAATTCATACACTTATATATGTAGTTTATATTTTATCATAGAAGTTTGAAAAGGAAAATGTGAAGAATTTTCCCTTAAAGAAAAAAGTCAACTATACCTATGAGTTTTGTTTCATATAATTGAATTGGACGAGTTTGAGGAATCAAAAGCATAATACACCATGGATGCAGTATTATTGTTTTTCTTTTAAGAAAATTTTATTTTTTTCTTCTCCCTTCTTTTAAATGCCCCAGTTGCTTTCTCATCTTGTACCGGGGTGTCTCCGTACGAAGTAGCCCCGCATGTTTGCGAGAGAACTGCATTCCAGGAACATAACTCCCAAGTTCAAGCCCTAGCCTTGCTACTGGCTAACTTGTGACTGAGCATGTCACTTAACCTCTCTGAGCTTCAGTTTTCTCATCTATGAAGTGAGGGTAATAAAGTACCTATACCATGGGTTTTGTGAAGATCAAAATTAGACTAAAGAAGTAAATGTGTTTTGGAAATTGTTAACCACAGACAGGAAGCATAGAAGTCTATGGAATGAGCAAAGTCTTGTGAAGTAAGTCTCCCTGCTCTGCCAGTTGCTTGCTGTGTGACCAAATGCAAGTGATTCAACCTCTCTGAACCTCAGTATCCTCATCTGAAACATGTAGATCATAATAGTGTCTACTCATAGGGTTGTTTTGCACATTAGATGAGGAGGCAAATGCCAGGCCCTTCGTGCAATGCTTGCCCCATGACAAGTGCTCATTCTGCAATAACTTCAAGGAGTCAAAATATCTAAATCCCAGTTTTGCCCCTTGCTTGCGATGGGGCCTTGGGCAAGTCACTCTACTTCCCTTTGGGCCTTAGTTACACCACGGGGACATAAAGATAATAATGCCTTCCCTTCTTCCTTCACAGATTGTTATGAGAATAGGGCCGTGGGAGTGGGTAGTAAAAGCTGAACTGCTGTGCTCCTCTGAGTGATTCAAAACTAAAACTCATCAATAGGAAGGAGAGATGAGTGTTCCCCAGTGCTTCCAGCTTGGCTCTTTCTGACTGAAGAGGTTTCAAACCTTTGAGTGAGTCTACACAAGATGCCCAAGCAGGCCTTTTGTGGAGCTTCCAGAAGTCACCCAAACACCCACATTGATTTTCCCTCATTAACTTGTGAAATGCTTTACAGCTGCCCCATATCACAGTAATCTCACGGGCATCTATGTTGAGACACTTTGTGTCCAAACAGTGTTTCTCTCGGGCCTGGGCACAGCGGTGACCTGGCACAGACCTAAAGTGGACCCAAGTTCCCAGCGCACACAGCCTGGTGCTTTTGTACACACCCTGGCACTAGCCACAAACAGGGTTTTGTAAGAAGCTTCCTGAGAAAATTGAGTTTCATTCATCTTGGCTGAAAGGAACCCTAGATGACAAATACCTCCCTCATTTAATTACAGAAACAGTCAGCAAACCCATGGAAAAAAGATTAAGCTGAGCAGAGAAAAGAGCAAGCCTCAATCATTTCTCCCCTCACATCTGGCCCCAGTTTCTCACCTAGAATTTAGCAAATAGGGCCGCTCTTGGCTATACTTACCACCTGAAAAAAAATGCTTTCTTTCTGCAGAAAAGTTAAACTCAGAAGCCCCAAACCAGGTAAAGAACGAATTGCATTTCAGCAAGAATTCATCAGTGGCTGGGAATTTAATCACAATCCTGAAGTTGGGAGGTGTATTTACATTTTTCATCCAGGTTTATATCTGCAAAGAGGAGTGAGACACAACGGCAATTATCTGAATAAATCAGATTAAATGAAACACACACCCACACAAAACTTCTTCATCATTTTCCTCAATTGTTGGAGAGAGAGGCATAGAATTTTGTGGTTGCAAGGAAACTTTGAAATCTTTGGTCCAAGCTGTCATTTTCAGAGATGAGGAAAACAGACCTACAGAGGGGAAGTGATTTGCCCTGGTCTCACAGTCATAGAGATGGAGGTAAGCCTGATTTCTCAGCTCCCTAAAGTGGCCTTATAGTTGCCTCAGCTCTGTGCTTCTCTCTGCCCATGGGCACTTATGTTCAGTATGTGGACCTTAAATTCTCACAAAACATTTTGTGGCGGGCCAGAGCATCCCCCCTGGAGAGAGATGCTGATGGCTCTCTTCCCATCCCATTCTGTTCATTAAGAGAATGTCCCCCAGAATATCCCAGGACCAACTGTGCCCGCCATGGCAACCTGCCATGTTGGGGAGACTCTGGAAACCTTGGATTAAGTTGTCTCTTCCCTGTGCCACCGGGTCTCAGAAGAAGGAGCAAATCCTGGCTCATTGGCCCCTCTCACCTGGGACTGATGGCCCAGAGCTGGTTGAAGAAAGAGAACCAGGTAGGAGTTCAAAAGACCAGTTCCGTATTTCCCATACTGATTTTGCACAGCTATGTCCCCTTTCTGGGCCATGATTTCTTCAGCTGTCAAATGGATGATAATTCCTATCTCAAAGAACCATGGGCTCTAAGACTCACTGACATTCCAGAAGTTTGGAAGCTTCACTGATTATGAAGTGGATGGAGCTGGATTGAGAAAATCCTACCAAACTTTGCCTTCTGGAACCCTGAACCTTACCTCGTAAAATAACAATTGTCCTAAAAAATAATAAGCAGGCTTTTTAGTCTCTCTCCCATAATCTGAGTTAGAGACCCAGGGCTTCTACTAATCAGAAAACTGGACAGCTATGCCTCTACTCACAGTTGCTGATCTTTGAGGCAACCGAGATGTTTTTCTTCTTCTTTATTCTCATCAACATTTCTAAATTCAGACAGAGCTATAAATTCCTAGAAAAAAACTGGATAGGAAGAGGACAGGAGAGCTCTAGGAGTGCATTGCATCTTGGGAAGCAGAGACTTCCCAAGTAAAGTTTTATGGGCAGGAAAGGAAAACCCTGGTAACAGTGTAGGATGTGAATTTAATATACTGTGTTGATCCAGAATGTCAGAAAATCAGGCATTCAGGGTAAAGATGTCACCTCATTAATGTAGAAGAGAATACCGGATAACAAAATCTGTGCTCAAATATTTATTCTCTAGTTTTCTGAGAAAAAAAATACTTATAGTGTAAATAGACAGAAAACAGGGCCAAGGGCAATACTCATACTGTGTCTTTTGATAAGCTACATCTGAAAAGACCTTGCTTTTGAAGATAAGTACATTGGAAACACCTAACATTCAGCCTTTGAAAAAGTACAAAAGTAATCAAAGGCACACAATGCCCAGAAAAAGCACAGGAAGAGTCCACCTCTGAAAATGATCTGTTGTAGGATAAAGAAGAAAACGTTAGAAAGATGTTTGGCATCCTCAATCATATGCAGAAAAAATATGGTCTCCATGAAATGGCCTGAGATAAGAGGATGGTTGAAAGGGATATGATCATAAAAAATAACTAGGAAACTAAAAATGTCAATAACACAATAAAAATATGTGAGGCACAATAAATCTTAAAACTGAGGCCATTGAAAAGTATATCAGCAAATCCACAAAGCAAAGAATCTGAATGGTTAATATGTTTATGTGCAGCTACTCAGCCACATTACAGTCAAAGGACTGCACAGTCAAATACTAATGAAGTGCCATCTTATCCCCGAAAGATTAGCAAAAATTAGAAATCAAATAACACCAAATATTGGACAAGATGTAATGAGATGAGAACCCTTGTGCCCTGCTACTGGGACTGTAAGTGGTACAGCCATTGTATCAGAAATTAATGAAACTGAATATGCACATACTCTGTAATAAAAGAGAGAAAGCAGAGGACAAAGGCCTAGAGATGAAATCATGGAAGAAAATATGACAGATATAGATTTGGAAAATGAAAAGACAACACATAGATAATCAGGTGTTCTAAAGGAGAGAAAAGACTATATATGAATATAATATAAACATATTATATAGTGTGTGTGTGTGTGTGTGTGTTTTCTGAGTTGAAAGACTTGGATGTATAGATTGAAGGACTCCCTGTGTCCCAGATAAAATCAAGAGTGTCACAGCCAAATCTATCTTGGCGAATTTTTTGAATTCTAAGAATAAGGGGAAAAAAATTCTTCCAGCATTCAGGCAGAGAAAACCAGATACCTACAAATGAACAACAATAAAACTAACCCAAGATTTCTCCTCTGCATCACTTTGTAGTTTCAAAGGGGGAAAATGGTAGCCCAAGAATTTTATACCCAGCTAAATTCTATCTGTGAAGGCAACAGAGGGTCATTCTCAGCAAGTTTTCAATATCTTACTGTTCTTCAGAATATTAAAAGATACTCCAGCAGGTTGAGACAGGAAGCAAGATTAATATATCCAGAATAAAGAAGAGTAGATATATAGTCTGACTATTAAAAGGGACAAAAGGAAACAAAAAGAAAGCATTAAAAAGAGTAAGACTGCCAACAAGATAATAAATGCAAGACCAAGTATTTATTATACCAGTAAGAATATATATTTAAAATTCATTCATGTACTTTTTTCAAAAAAATATACTTGCAAATGATATTAATAGAATACAAATAGAAGGAGGATCAGAGCTGTGGCAAGCAAAAATAAAGTAAGGGTTTCAATATTAATAGCAAGCAACATATTGACTCAATATTAATATCAAGCAAGATATAATATAAAACAAAAAGCAGTAAAATGACAAAGGGTTTATTTTACCTTGATAAATATTTTAGTCCTCAGTTCACTCAATGATTTTTCTATTAAGTGCCTGCTATTTGCATTAGACCAGGGTACACATTGCTGAAAAATAACAATATAATTGTGATGAACATTTATGCTCAAAACAACATAAAATCAAAGCATGTAAAGCAAAATCTATGGAAATACATAAAGAAATTGTCAGAGACAATGGAAAAAAAATTAACAAACCTCTCAGTCTTTGACAGGTCAAGTAAACAAAAATACAATGCATGTGATAATATAATTGGTTATATCTCTTATGCATAACAAGTCTGATAAAATTATAGTTTACAGCTAGAGACTGCATCTGTTTTTCCAGTTACTACAGACCTTTTACAAAAATTGATTGTATGATCAATAATAGTATGATCAATTGATTGTATGATCAGGTCACAAAGAAAATCTCAATAAACTCCCAAAGCAGATGCTGTACATGCCAAATTCTTAAAACAATGCAATACAACTAGAAATGATAACAAAACTATAAATTTAAAAGTACTCGCTGAAATAAATCTTTGCTTTAGGGATTAATTCAAAGCCTCAATCAGTCTTTTTAGAAATGAACTTTGTTATGTGAAATAAGGCAGGAGAACCCAGAAAGGTTGGGTCTTCAAGTTAGGGCCCTAATGCAACAGGCCTGGTGTTTTCAGATGCTGAGTGCCTGTGCTGGAGGGGAGGAAGTTCTGGCAAGCACATAGGAGGTAGGGGACAGCCATCAGGAAGAGGAAGAACTCGAGACTTCTGCTCAAGATGGCGGAGTAGGCAAACGCTGTGCTCGCCTCCTCCCATGACCACATCAGAATTACAACTAAATTATAAAACAACCACCCTTTTGAACTACCCGAAGACTAGTTGAACAGAACTCTTATAACTAAGGATATAAAGAAGAAGCCATGTCGAGACTGAATATTGAATGTTGACTGTAATTGCAAATTAAAGAGAGAGAGAGAGAGAGAGAGAGAGAGAGA